GGGTTCCTCCCACGTCAACAAAGATGGACTAAAGGCACGTGTGAGGGCGTAGGAAACCAGGAAAAAGCTCAGTCTATTTGGAGACAAACAAAGTGAGTATTGGTTCTGTCCAAGTAAGAAAGAAGGCAGTGCCTCTAAGCTGATCCAAAACTTGAGGCCAAACTCATCACATATCTAAACTATCTATCTGAAGCCTTGTTCTTTTCCATTCTAAATCAGAGGTGCATGTGTTTTCCCCGTGTTAAAAATCCCAAGTTCTTCATCATTACAAAAAAAAAAAAAAAAAAAAAAAGGAATCCCATACAGAGGAAAAGAAGAACAGGTTTCCGCTGAAACCCTGCTACTATACAACTAGCGTGACAGCTTTATGAGGAAATGGGTTTTTCTACATCTTCACTAAACTATCAGACCAAGCCTATCAGTAAAAGTTGAAACATTTTCAGCAAGTATGACAGCGGTCAGACAAGTATGCGCTTGTTCAAGTTTTTCACACTGCAGATTTACGAGTTGAAGTCTCAAGAGAAAACTTTAGCTTAAAGAAAGAAAAAGGCTGCATCTACAGGTGGCTTGTTTGTCTGACATTCTGGTCCCAGTATCAGGAGCTGTTTCCTCTGGCTAACAATATACTGTATAAACTGAGGGGCTCTAACTCCACCTCCTGTAGAGTCGCAGTCATGTCAAATTAAAAACCTATTAGTCTAAGAGGAAAAAAATGCTTACTTGAACATCTGTGCCCCACTTGTATGAACCATACGGTCAGACAACATGCAATATAAGTAAATAACTATATGGTTTAAACAAAAACTGCATTCACTTAAATATGAGAGACCAACAATAAACAAGCACTGCAGCTCAGGTATAACATTCAAAACAGGACTTGAAGTAACTGCCCACCCACCCTCCTCTCCTTCCTCTCAGTGAAAGACAAATGAACACAAAAAAGATGATATTTGCTTGCCGGCAAGCCCAACTAATAAGGAACAGACTGAATGAACAGCAAGAGAAAAGTCTCTGAGATTCAACACTGGCCCTCTCAGTTCAAAGTGGGATGTGCAGATACTACAAACAGGCAGAAGGCACACTGTCACCCCTCTCTCCTAAACAATAAGCAAACACATACAGCCAGCCACCTTCCACAAGCTCAAGCTTTTCTTAACAAGCTAGTGATAAAAATCATAGTTTCATTTCTACCAGAGAGACCTATTTCTATGGCTCTTCTTTCTCTGGTTGTCTTCATGCAAGCAGTAATGAGGTCAATAATATTACAGGATATTAAACTGTCGTCAGCTTGGAAATGTCTCCATAAACAGAAGTCACAATTAGTTTAGGTACTGTCCTAGGGGAGGGGAAAAAATAATTAAAAAAAAATAAACCTAGCAAACCCAGCCTTACAACAGAACAGTCAAAGCACAAAAGAAGCGTATGAGTAAGTAACTAAAAAACAAGCAAAAGAAGAAATTAGACACACACACCCCCCCTCCAAACCAGCAAGATTAACCTCATGCAGGAGAACAATTCCAGAGCTCGTTTCCATCTGCCACCTTGCTTTATCAGGAGATCCTAGGCACCTTGTTTGCCACCTGGCCTGAATTACCACTCTCCTTCATGACTTGAATGCTCTCAGCTGGCCTGCTGCTGGAAATACCCTAAATCCAGTGTATTCTGTAAATTGAGACCACTGCTCACTATGGGCAGAAACAGCAAAAGAAATGACTTGTTGCTGTTTTTTAACTGCTTAGGGATTATATAACATCAAGTACCGCTTGAAATGCAGCAACTGTAACACAGAAAGACATAGGTATTACCCCAAGCATTTCAGGAGCAGTGCACATAGAGCTCCTCTCTGCCTTTCATGACAGGCTGATACCATTCCAGCTTGACACAGATGAAAGACATCAATATCCAGGAGAAAGTTAGGTATTTTTTGAGCTATCTAGCTCTATTTAACTAAAAACCACAGATAAAACAAACATGGAATTTTTTAGATTCTAGCCATTCATTTTTCAATGTGCAAATAACTGAAGTGACTTTTTAAAAAACCCTTAGTAGCATAGGAAAACAAATATTTCTAGTTTCTGCTATATCACATCTACTTAGGAAGCAGAAGGACAGAACTGTAGCAATCACGCTACTATACTATTCCACCCACATTTGAAACATGAGAAACATAACTGAAACTCAGGGAGTGGGCTAGAGGCACTTTTCAAAGTCTGGGTCTGCAGTACGTGTACTAGATACAGAATTTCAGAGAAGGTAATTTAGGTTTAAAGGAAGTGAAAAACTCTGTAGTATAGATTCTGCAACTCTGCTTTAGTTACTCGGTTACTCTGATTTACTCTGTCACCTTTCTCCATGTTCACCACCAGCTCCGCCATGTTTACCTCAAGCCTGAAGCCCTTTCATGCCACGCTAGGACAGAACGTGGCAGGCGCTGGTTGTACAGGAGCAACCCTTCCCTTGTTTCACATAGGCCTATATATTTCTCCATATTCTCAGCTTTCATCCTACATACTGCGGTGAGAGAGTTACTTATTTCAGCCAACTCCGCTTTGTTGTCCATTAAACATAAACTGTACGAGGGAGTCAGGATTGCCTCCTCCTTCAGAACACCCATCTTCAAAGGGGATGACTTCACAAAGAGTAGCTTTACAATTACTTAATGCTACATTAAACCTCTGTTTTGTGAGTAACCACAGCAAGTCCTTGTTGTGGTCACAGAGGGCTCAGTGGCATGAATGAGAGGTGCTGAGAGCCCCACAACCCAAACCCACAGAACCTTCACAGAACTGGGGCTGGCCAGAGGCCTCTCCTGACAGGGACAAAGCTCTGCAGGAACCCAGCTGCCTGCCACACAGCTCCCTTACAGCTTTTAGGCAAATATAAATACAAATATAGAAATACAGAGATACTTACATCTGAGGGCGGGGCTCAGAGTGGAGGCCCCGGTGTGAGACAGAGCCAGAGAGTGGGAGAGGCTCACAGAGTGAAGGGCCATAAAATTACAAGGCCCAGGCCGAAAGAGAGAGGCACAGAGAATGGCTGCCCAAGGAGAAGGAGGCCCAGTGAGAGGGGAGAGAGTTACACAGTGGAAGATCCATGACTGTGTGTGTGGGGAGGCCCACTGGGGAGGGAGTAGGGGAAAGCAGAGCCCAAAAAGAGGAGGACGCCTGAAAACATGGGAAGCCAATAAACAAGTGGGAGGGTCATATTGTGGAGGCTTGTAGAGAGTTGTGGTGGCCCAAATCGGTTGGATGCCCCTCAAAAACTGTGAGGCTCAGAGGCTCAAAGCCCTCAGTGGCTGGGAACAAGAGACTCAATGAAGCCCAGAGCGAGTGGGAGGCTCACAAATGGAGCCATAGCCCACAGTGATGACCCTGCATGTTTCTCTTGGATGTCAGTATCCATCAAGGAGGTTTCTTGTGGGCTTTTTTGAATGCAGGTATTTACCTTCAGCAATCAAGTCAGTCAAAAGGAGCTTAACTGTCATAACTATCTCTAATGAAATGCAGTGGTTGCTATTAACAATTTTAAAAAAATGATCCAGATTTACCCAAATCCTTGAAAAAGCACTTAGAACAAAAACTACAAAAGACAGAATTTTCCTAAGTATTCTTATGCTAAGTTTCCTTTCACCACATCACACTATATGATCTCAACATACACTTGCCCCATATATGGAAATCACAGGAAATATATACAATACAACTATGAAATCAACTCAACTATTTACATTGGGTTTCCAATTAGCTGCTGGGGCTATACTTTCTCTTCCTATGTTTTTTGATTCTTCAAAGAGGACTTCATCTTCCATGTTTACTGTTGTTCCATTGTTTCCCAAATAAACAGGAAAAAAAAAACCAAAAATCACCAAAGCAGCCAGAGCCTAATGTCCTAATTCCCTATTCAGGAAATACGTGAAACTGACTGCCTACACGGAACTGTATGAAGTAAATAAAACTGAAAATAGTGTTTAAAAAAAAGCTAAGATTTTTTCCCATGTTTTTCAGGTACAGTTACCTATTTTGTAGCTTGTACTCAGTGAAGAGCAGAAAAGAAAAAGAACAAGCACGTATGTATTCGGAGCAGAACATGCTCTTTTGAGTCTTCTAGTGGTAACAAATTTATCCCCCTACCCCCTAAAATCAAATATCTCATATAATCTTTCTTGTCAATTAAATTGTAGATGTTTGCATATTGAATTTGTTCTGAGTGTGCTGATCACCCTGCAGGTTGTACATGTGTGATTCAGCCATTCCACCCCCTATTCTTTACCCTCCCCACCCACAAATCCTTCAGACACTGGCAATGAGACTATCCTGTAACTGGCCCATCACAGTGAACTCTCATCACTGGCTCAAGGTACATTTGCACAGATTGACTCATTTCTAACAGATGAATATAAAGGTTTTACCTTTGCAGGTGAAGCATTTGATGTGGAAGTGTCTGGCCTGAACACGGAGTACTTCACCTTTACATGGCTCCCCGCACTTATGGCAGTGGATAACCGGCTTTTCAGAGGGGTGGTGAGGGTCCTGAGGATGGGCCACTGCAAAGAAAAAAAATATATGATTTAAACTCAGACAAAAAGAATATTTTCTGCTGTACATAAATCTATGTTCTCAGATACTTTTCATCATGATACAAAAGTATCTGTTCTCATTTTACACTCATCTATAAGGAAGTCACCATCATTTATTTTAAATATTGCCTTTTCATAAACCCGTAGTTTAAGCCATTCACATCAACTACTGCCTCTTTCCACTGAGGCCACCGTGGAAAGACAAGGAAAAATTCCCTCCACAGTTTCAGTGCTACAAAAGCGTTTCAGACTGTCTAAGCTTTTCTTTCCAAGAACACGAGTGTGTGTAAACCATTCAATGAGCACACAAGGCAACAAGAACTGGGCTATTTTAATCCAAGAAAGAACACAATCCAAGCAAAAAGAATGAAAGAAAAGCAATTCCAAATCAAGTTTTGGGAAACCAGATGAACCAAGCAGCCTGACTTTGCATGCAAATGACTGTATTAAATATAAACTACAAACATAGTGTGGTACAGCACATACCTAACACAGGAAAAGCACATCTGAAGAGAAAAGAAGCCAACGTTATTTGTTTTTATTCCCATTACTTCTAGCAGAAACTCCTCTCTTCACGTAAATTAGAGATATTATAAGTAGATAGAAATGACCAAATTATCTGCAATACACTCAGGGAGACAAAATTCCAGGTACTGGTAATTTATCAGCTATCCCACAGCCCTGAATAGAGCTTGGATAGAAACAGGAAAGGTTTTTGTCAACTTTATTGCGTATTTCATTGTCGCAATAAAAGTTTTATTGCTCCACATTTGGCTCCCGTTAAAAATGTTTAACTTTCTCTTCAGATGTGTCTTGTGGCAGCTTGGGGCCCCAGCAGAAATGCACGGGAGTAACGCTAGAGCAAGACTGAGTCCCAACTGTACTGTCTGAAGTGGAAAGTATTACCCAGAATGTTCGCAAACAAAACTATGTTCCTTCAGATCTCCCTCCCACATCCCATTTTAGCAGGGGGAAAACTGTCCTCCTTGTAATATTGCTCTAAACCCAGTGATGGTCATCAGAACATTTCTAAGAAAACACACCTCTCTACCCACGCCTCTGTCTTTAACCATTCCTGTCCTGCTTTTCCCAGCCTGCAAAGGACTGACTGCCCATACATCTATGTCACTCTCACGGGGAATCATCTTCATTATTTTATCTTGCTGTTTCCTGGCACTCTCTTTTCCTTTCCTGAACAAATCCTAACATCTCCCCAGCCAGGTTTAGGCTTTTTTCCAGGTTACTACTTATGCAGCAACATAACAGATACCTTGCTCATATTTACTGCACCAGTTTCCTCCCCTTCCTCAATGAATTTCTAGGGAAAAAGCCCCATCGCTGCATGAAGTCGTCCTATATGACTCTCCTTTATAAATGCCCCAGTGAAGAAATGCTGTTATCATTCTGCATTATATAAATACAAGACTGATAAAAAAGCCTAATATGCAATAACAGGAGTAACAGCATCAAGAATAGAGGATAACAAATATTTTGAGCAATAATTCCTGCTGTAAGTCTATGCAAACTATATATGGCAGCTGCTGTTTTGTTCTTCACCCCCTCACACTCCCCAGCCCTAGAATCTTCAAAGAAAAAGGCTGAATTCTTCTACTCAAGGTTGAGGTTTTGATACCTCCTCCTCTGGTAGCCTGATTTCTATTTCCCTTAAGCAGTTATTCAGCCCATACTGGTGAACAGAATGCAGCTGGCAATGCCAACCAGTATTTCAATTAGCAGCCCCATTTAAAAAGAGGCCAGTAAATGCCTTGCCTTGCCTATTGCCATGCAATAAATGCCTTGCCTTGAGTGAACCTCATCTAATAGTCTGCAATGTAATACTATTTCTGGAGTGGAAGCTATAATTCTTCCAAACAAGAGTATTAACTATTAACTTGTAACCAAGGAAACACATAGTTTATGCAACGAGAAAGAAAGAAAGAAAATAAGAGACAAAAATAGAGACAAGCGCTAGCAAATTAAATTATTATGAGGAAAATTTCCTCTCAGATCCAGACAGCCTGAGATGGGCCTGATGCCAACTGAAGGAAAGGTAATAGAATTTTTAAAGTTGCTCAAATGAGGAACTGGACCAAGGATTTGGGCAAATGCTCCCTAGATCTTAAATGCTGCAGCGTGAAATCTGTACCCACAACATTCAGCTCTCTCACACTCACATGTGGAGGGCACCCTTACATACCCCGCACACCAGCACCCAGATCTCTGGTATTGATCTGAACACAAGTTTTTCCTCTTTACTAGAGGGTAAATAAATGTTTTCAAGTCTGGTTCAATGATGTAACTTCTGTCCAGTTCTGCCTTTACAGCCATTTTATATGAATACAAATACTGCTAGTTGCTATCTCCAGACTGATCTCTTAAGTGAAGCTAATTACGGTGCTTGTCTTACTGGCCTCAATTTGGCATTGCAGGTCAAGATTGAGTAATTGATTATTTTTTTTTTTCTCCTGCAAGGAATTGCTTACAAGATTCTTCCTTTGGGTATGTGCAGTAATGCAAGGCTTCCCAGTGGCAGAGCTGACCCTTCGTAGTCATTAGTGAGGACAGAACACACTGGGGACTAAAGAAAGAGAAATACCTTTACAAGCAGCTTATTTAAATGTTTCTGACTGAAGTCCAGCCAGTTTACTGGACATGTAAATTGTGATCTGCTTTGGGTCTGAAAACCCTGAGCTAAGAGTGAGGCTCATTTCTCTACAGGCATTTCACATCTGGACATGGTAAATATTTCAGGCTCTGCCTGGACCAGCCCTCCCCACATCAACTGCATCATGCCCCAACAGCAGCATTGAAATAAGGCAACTCTATATCATGACTGAGATAAAACCAGACTCCAGCCAGTATAATCACTGACAAGACATTAATTTAGGGTCTGGATAACCGAGGTTCCAACCCCTGCTCCACAGCAGATATCGGGGCTTTTCGGATGGCATGGCCTTAACTCTAAAGGACTAAAGTCTGACAGTGAAGCTCAGCCAAGCCTCTGAGCCTGTCACCTATCAGCTTAAAATTAGGTTATCCAAATGTTTTAGTTTCTCTGTGTCTTGAGTGTCCCTGACTGTAAACCAGGTGTAACAGCTCTGTCAGCCTCACCCTACTGAGAGAATAAATACAGATGACCAGCTTCCCAGGCACGGGGATGGAAAGAGCCACATAAGCACCCAAGACAGTAAGTCACTGCAGATGGTCACATACGCTACATTCACCGCATTTCTGGAAGCAGCATTCATTGGAAAGTGTGCGGGAAGACAAACAGTAACTTGAGGAGCTGCATTGCCTTTAATGAAGTTTCAAATCCAAATATATCAACACCACGACTATCTTCCAAATTAAAAGAACATAGAGGGAGAGATGCTCCCAGAGCAGCACATTCTTAGTTCAGTACTGAGGCTCACAATTGTCTTCATGTCATGAAATTCACACTTACTGCACGGGTAGTGTGATATAAACAGAAGTCAAGTATTCACCAGCTCCAGGACACTGATGTGAATTGATACTTGTCTACATACAAATCATGTCAGACTAAGTCAAGATGTGATTTTATATCGGGTTAACCCAACCAGTATAACAAGGTACACAGATACTTTTTGTGTAAGATGAAACCCAGTGTATCAATCAGCCCAGCTCACATCAGGAAGGTACACAGAAGAACTTTGCAAGACAAAGTAGGCTGAGACTTCCACTCTTGCTGACTAGACCAGTTTAAATGAATAAACCTTCTTAAGCTCATTTGGGTTTCCAATATGACAAATCAATGCCCCATTAAATATCCAATTTACCTAAAGTAAGACGTACACTGACTGCAACAACTGGGAAGTCTGGATTACATTGTTTAATTCAGATAGGGGAAAAGAAATGAAAAAAAAAATCAATAGCACCTTCTTTTATGAGGAAGACAGTCATTGGAGCATTGCTTTTGCTAACATCACTTCACACACGTATCACTATGAGTTTTGTCATTCCTTGCGTTCTCTTGTGACTCATGCAGTGTTGATTTTATTACATTTTGCAACTGGACTGTATTGATGTAAATTCAAAGCAACCCGACCAGCTTGAGAGTACTCATTAATGCATTTTATCAAAACATCTCAAAACAACCCCTGATCAGTAAAGAAAAAGAAACAGCTAAAAAGAAAGAAATAGAAAAGGCCAACAACAACCCAATGTTTATATGAGAAACTGAAGGCACTTTCTGAGCAAAATGTAATTACATGTTTTGCTGCATCAGCCAGAAAAAGGACCTCAGCACTCATACCAAACCCTTCTGAAATGGAAATTACCGCAACTACCTGAAAAGTAAGGGTTGTTGAATAAACACAAAGAAAACAAATACTGCAGCCTCCCTCATTGATGATTCTCTCCCCGAACACAGAACTGTTAGGGAACCAAAGGCTCAAGCTAAGTGGTTCTTAGCTGCAGATTCCTGCTGGCAGGACTCCATGGCTCTGCTGCAACCAAGGGAACACTTCGGCTTTTTATTGGAAGTCAGAAAGAAGCTTCTGGGAAACGCCTTGCTATGTGTATGCTGCAAAGTAGAGGTCACAGCAAAATATGCTGGGTTCAGTTCTGCTCTAAACTGAAGCAAAAAGCTGCCTCCTCTAAATTTAAACAGGAGGAGGATTTGGGCTATTGGTCTTATAAAAGTGAATTTTTGTAGTTTTCACATTTGCATGTCAAGCTTCACAAATAAACGTGAGAGTTATGCTCAGTCAACTCTAACCATGTAGCAGCAGGTGTAACTTCAAACTTCACGCTAGGATATACAATTTTTAGGACTTCCAGCTCCACAACCTCTGGGCTGTTTTGCAGAGCACTGAGATCACGCTGTGCCCATAGCAGCGCAGGCAAGAGACTCAGGATTTGACAGCCATGTCCTTTATATCTGAAGAGTGGCCTAATACCGACAGCATGCTGTGAAATGCTAACTTTAATTGGCTGCTGTGTTTTCT